TGTAAAATTTGGATTCAGTCCAAATGCCTCACTTAAGGACCTAGAAGGCCACGGGTTACCCACCCCTGGTCTAGTCTGGAGAGCCCCTGGGATGAGAATCTGGATATTTAGATACTTCCAGCTCTGTTCCTAGCTTTCTGCTCTTTGATATGTGCAAATCACTTCATATCCTGAGACCCCAGTTCTCTCTTTGGCAGAATGAGGGGGTCAAGGCTAGATCGTCTTTAAAAGCCCATGATGCAGCCACCATTCTGTGATTATAAAATCAAGTTCCTTCCTTTTTCTGGCCTCTCCTTTGTGTGTGAGAGACAGACCCTCCAGCTGCAGATGAGATTCATTTCACAGCAGGAGAGGTTGAAATTCTCAGGCCTGACACATTTCCATTTCAAGCTGCTAGAGGGCTAAGTCTTATATGTGTCACATATAACAAGTTTTGTTTTTTTTTTAAATTTCCTGTCCCCATGAGTTGCCTCTTTTTATACATCAGGGGCAGGCCAGGAGACCATTGTAGGTGGGGTTACCAACCAGCCAGAATTTGGCTAGCATTTTATCACAAAAACTGCTTGCTTCTCATTGATGTCAAGATGCTTTTTGTTTGTCTGTGTTTTTTTTGTTGTTGTTTTGTTTTTGTTTTTTTTTAACCCTAATTATAGGTGAAAGCCTTGTGTGAGAGACTCCTGAAACAAAGGGCCCAGGTGTGCTTTGGAGAAGCTTCTCCCTTGATGGAACCCAACTGAGCAGTCACTAGTCCTGAAGATGTATATAAATCCCCAAAGCCATTTAAAGGCTGGGTCCAGATTTTTCCTTTTTCTTTTCTTTTTTCTAAAATTGTGAACCTAATGATCATTAGCAAATACAAACATTTCAATATACAAAGAATAAGAAAAAAAAGTATGAAAAACTGTGAAATTCTGTTACATAAGGTTTGTTTCTTAATAAGTATATAAATAAATGTATATATATTGTGTGTGTATATATATATACATATATACACGTGTATTTAAAAAGATAGTACCAAAGTTGCTCTGTTGTCTGTACTTCTGTTTTGTTGTTTTGTGCGTTATTTTAAAATATAGTTTTATTTATAAACTGTTTTTTTCACCTTCTTGCCAGGCTCCATGACTCCACAGCATCAGTTTCTTAGTGAAGGCTGGCAAATGTCTATTAAGACTTTTTTGCTGCCAACTTCCTGGTGCAAGATGGTAGCAAAAAATCTGCTTGTTTTTTTTTTTTCCCTCTCTCTCTTGCTTGCTTTCAGCTTCTTACTTCTCTCATTCTCCTCCTCCCCTACCCATACTTCTTCTGAGGTCTAGCCAGCACCATGTACATATTTTTGGGGTAAACACCTCATTTCCTCAAGTTACTTAAAATGGAAAGATGAAGAGACAGTTAGCACAGCATTAAGGGCCTTAGATGTGAAGGTCATGATCCTCTCGATTTGGGACTCAGAAAATAGATTTTTAAAAATTATATATGCATATATATGCATACATATACACACATATATACATATATGTATATAATATTTTATATACATATATGTATATGATATTTTATTTTTTCCCAATTACATGTAAAAACAATTTTTAACATCCATTTTTAAAAGTTTTAAGTTCCAAATTTTCTCCCTCCCTTCCTCTCCCCTCCCTGAGATGGTAAACAATTTGATGTGGGTTATACATATGCAATCATGCAAAACATATTTCCATATTAGACCCTGAAAATAGTTGTTAGGGCAACTTATGCCCACATAGGCCCAACTTTCAAATGGCACTGACCACTGATCCATCTGCAAACTTGGCAAAAGCTTTATTTCTGTGAACAGTTGGGGATAAGGGATCTGGGTTAGTAGCACAGTATTGATCAAAAGGAGCTGGAGGGAGAGATGTCATGGAATGAGCAATGCTTGTGTGGGGAGGGATGAGGTAGAGTTTGGGGGAGTAGGGATGAGGAAAAGTGGTGCAGACCTATGATTTCATCAATACAAGAAGTTCCTAGCATGGAAACTCTCCACTGATGCATGCCTGCAACTCATCTGTAATTTATAGTCTAAGAGAGTTGCCTGGGACCCTAAGAGGTTAAGGCTCTTCTCTAGGGTCAGGTATAGGTCCTATGTGTCAGAGTAGGACTTAAACCCAGGTCTTCTTAACTGCAATGCTGGTCCTCTTTCTGCCATGACATACTGCTTCCCAGCGGCCGAAAACCAGTCTTTTTAAAGTTAAAAACAGAGGCATTGAATAAAATGACTTAGTAAGAAGAGAAGCAACCAAACATTTCCCCAGTAAGCCTTCCAAAAATATATAGAACATTAGTGGAAAGAATTGACCCATTAGGGAATCCATGGGGAACAGCAACATGCAAGGAACATGGATGGCCAGGGGACACATAGGGAGAGATAACTTCACAGGAGAACATGTGATTAGCCTTTTAATAAATGCTCAAGAACTGATTTATTCTTCTCTTCACTTACTTCAGATGCTGCAATAAACTATCCCATGCCTTTATTTCACTAATTCAAATAGTACACAAACTATTCTACCATTTTTTTCCCTTTCCCTTCAAGTCCTGGCAAGTATAACTAATGTTATCAGCAAATTTTTCACTTGAAAATAACCTGAGCTAAAGCAGCAAGGTCTATACAGACATCATTTCTGTTTTTAAAGCATAATTATAGTTCATTTGTCATCCTTGTTGAGTAATGCTAGCTTGCATTTATAGACCACTTTAAGGTTTGCTAAGCATTTTGTAAGCATTATCTCATTAGAGGCTTATAACAATCCTGTAAAGTAGATAATATTATGACCCTCATTTTACTGATGAGGAATCTGAGGACTAGAAAAGTTAAGTGACTTGTCCAAGGTCACATAGCTAGTGTCAAAGAAAGATTTTGAACTGAGCTTTTCCTAGCTCAAAGTCCAGCACTCTTAACTACTATAGTATCCTGGCTCAGTAATGATTTCATATGCCTAGATATAACCCCTAGGGAAGTCCAGCATACCATATAGTACTGGGGACCTTCTTAGCCACAATACTGTCCCTCAGATAAGGATTCTTAATCCAGAGTCTATGAACTTTAAAAAAAAAAGTTTCAGTATAATTGGTTTTGTAATCTTACATATTTTATCCATTTAAAAATTATTCTGAGAAGAGGTCCATGGGTTTCACCAGACTGCCAGAGGGGGTTCATGACCCACAAAAAGTTAACCCTTGCTTTAAGATAAGATTCAAACTCTTCACTATGTTATTTAAAGCTCTTCACAGTCTGGCTTCAGCCTTCCTTTCTGGTTTGATTATAAATTACTCTCCCTCACACGTTCTGTGCTGTAGCCAAACTGACCTGCTTGCTAGTCTGTATGAAAGATATTCCATCTTCCCACCTCCATGCCTATGCACAGGCTGCCCCTCATACCTGGAATGCCATTCCTCCTGACATTTGCCTATTAGAATCTCTAGCTTCCTTCAGCTCAAGTGGCACATCCTAACAAGGTATTTCTGTTCCCTCTAGTTGATAGTGTTATCTCCCTCCTCAGATTAGCCTCTCTGTGTTTCTCTATGTGCTGTATTCCTCCTGTATAATTTAGTCTCCTTGGAGGCAGCTACCATTAAGCTTTATCTTTTTAACTCTAGTGCCTGGAACATAGTAGGTGCTTAGTGAATAGCCCCTTATAGGAGCTTTCTTGACATTATAGTATAACAGATAGAACACTAGACTTAGTGGAGAAGATCTGGGTTCAGATTCCCCATTTTACTTGCTAGCTGTGTGACCTTGGGCAAATCACTTAACTCTGAGCTCCAATTTATTTGTCTGTAAAATAGCGATCATGACCTGGATTGCAGGTTGTTTTGATTATTGAACAAGAGAATTTAAGAGAGAACACTTTTTAAATCAGTCAGCAAGCATTTATTAAGTGCCTACTGTGTTCCAAATACTGTGCTAAGCACTAGGGATAGAAAGAAAGGCAAAAAACAGTCCCTGCTTAGAAAGAGCTTAGTCTAATGAGGTGCAAATAACCATAAGCAAATGAGATGTGTGCTTGATTAATTGGAGGTAATCAAGAAAGGGAAGGCACTCGCTTTCATTAGATAGAGATCAGGAAAGATTTCTTATAAGAGATGGTATTTCAGCTGAGACTTGAAGGAAACCAGGGAAGTTAGGAAGCAGAGATGAGGAGGGAGGGCCTGAGTTCCAGGCAATGGTGCACAGCAAGTTAAAACGTCCAGAGTCTTGGGATGGAGTGCCTTGTTCAAGAAACAGCAAGGAGGCCAATAGCACTGGCTCACAGAGTATGTAAAGAGGTAAGGCAATAAGGAGTAAGAAGCCTGTAAAGGCAGGAAGGGACCCCCTTAAATCTATCATTGGACCCCTTAGGTATTCATGGACCACACTGTGGTTAAGAATCCTTGGTATAGAGGCATCATGCTGTAAAACAATATCTAATACATTCATATATAAGGGTAAATATATTTATTAAAGTAACAAGTGAATTTAAAAAAGAAAGGTAGGAAGGGGCTAGGTTATTAAAGCCTTTTGAAAGCCAAATAGAAGATTTTATACTTGATCCTGGAGGTAATAGGGAGCCAGTGGAGAAGATTGATTAGGGTGGTGACACGATCAAATTTACACTTTAAGAACATCAATTTACCAACCACACGAGTGAAGGATGAACTAGAAAAGGAAGAGAATTGAGGCAGGGGGACCAAGCAGCAAACTATTGCAACAACCCAGGTGTGAGGTGATCAAGGCCTGTACCAGGTTGGTGACAGTGTCAGAGGAGAGAATGGAGCATATACAAGAAACGTGACGGTACAAACAATAGAACTTGGCAGCTAATTGGATATGGAACGTAAGAGAGCTGGAAGTCAAGGATGATGCCTACGTTGTGAGCCGGGGTGGCTTGGGAGGATGATGGTACCCTCCACACAGCCCTTTAGAAATGTGGGCCATGATAATTGTTCCTTGTACAGAATACCAAAATCAAACCTCTTTTTCCTTTCGTCAGGTACTTACTGGAACAGGACTTCCCAGGCATGAGAATCGGACCTGAGCCCACTACTGATTCATTCATTGCGGTGATGCACGGAGATGTGGAAGGAATTATTCCAGGAAATGCACTGGTGGTAGACCCGAAGAAACCTTTTAGGAAACTCAATGCTTTTGGAAATGCCTTCTTGAACAGGTTGGTGAGCTGGGCCCTTTCCTGTCTCTTTCTCCTTGGGGGCTACAGCAGAAGAGATAGTAGCAGAGAAGAAAAGATGGAGTCAGTTTTTTCCTTAGACTTCTAGTCTTTATTGTAACCAGAGGACTTTCCCCCCTCCCTCCTCTGCTGTTGGTATCCTGGGTCATGCTGAGCTGAGCCAAGTCACTCTCCATGTGGACAAACATGAATAGGCGCCTCGGAGTGGCAAACACCAGGCCCATTCACTGCCGCCCAGGGCGGGGGCCAGGGCTCTAAGCCAACCCGAATTCTCCTTGCCCTTCTTTCTCCCTACTCCGGATGAGTGTGACCCAAGCTGCCTCATCTGGTACATTTGTTTCCTGGCGGCTAATCTTAGCTTGCCTGGAATTTGGCTCAAAGTCATAGGATTATAGATTTAGAGATGCAAGGGAGCTAGAGGTCATCTGATCCAACCTGTTGGTTTTAAAGATGAAGAAATAGAAGTCCTAGAGATGTGAATGAAGTTACTCCCCCAAGGTCACACAGCTAGTGAAGAGTAAAAGAAGCATTTCAGTCGAGGGCCTCTGACTCAAAATCCAATGTTCTTTCTACTGTACCAGCTCTCACTTGGGAGGGGTGTTAAATCCCAGGAAGCTGGTTAAGTGATTTTCCTGGAATCACCTAGCTTGTAAGAGTCAAAGGCAGGATTCGAATATAAGTTTTCTTGATTCCAAGACTATTGCTCAGTCCACTCTGCCTTGGGTACCTTCATCTATCAGCAAATTAACATTTTTATAATGAAGATACATATGGAGGAAATGCAAGGATAAAATTCTGTGGTCCCATAAAACAAGTCACAAAAAAAAAAAAAATAAATCCAGGTGATTATAGACTGCCAGCTAATAAAAACAGAAAATTAAAGTTGGAAGGAGAAGAAATTCTAAAGATTATCTTATCCACTATGCTCCTCCAGAGAGAGGACTGATGAATTCTGAGTGCAAATTGAAACATTTTTTCACCATGTTAATTTTTCTTACCTTTTTTTTTCAACATGGCTAATATGGAACTATGTTTTTCGTGACTTCACATGTATTATGGGTATCATATTACTTGCCTTCCCAATGGGTAGAGGAGGGGCTGGAGAGAAGGAAAGAATTTGAAACTGAAAATGAAAATTTTTTTTAAAATGTAAAAATGTATTATCTAGTCCAATCCTATCATTTTGTAAAACACAAAGCCCAGAGAAATGAAGGTTACGTGGCTAATTAATGACGGCTGGTATTAGAACCCAAGTTTTAAATTCATGGAGCTTGAGAATCAGTTGAATAAACTAGATGTGCTTAGCCTGGAGCAGAGGGATTTACTAGGGCCGTGGCAGCTGTATTCACATATGTGTGGCACGTGATTATGATCACCAAATTTGGCCCCTAAGAAGAGTTGACAAAACACACCTTCTACCTTCTTTATATCCGTCAAAGAATGTAGCTGTTAAAGGTGGCATGTACTGCCAGATTTGGTTGATGTGTTGATTAGTTACACTGAAAGTTTTTATCCTTTTATATTTTATTTTCTGTTTCAAGAGATGGTTCTTTGGATGGGGAGTCCTAGTGGGCATTCTTTTTATACATTAGTTGTACTTGATGGTCATTGAGGTCCCCTCCAGCTGTCAGATTTTATTATTCTGGTGCCACTGAGCCTGTGGTTCTTCAGAAGCTTCTGAAAAGCTTACAAAGGTCCAGTAACGTGGAATATTGTGCTTCTACCATGTATGCTGCACTGTAGGGGATGTGGAAGACACAGAAAAAACGATGGCTGTCCTCAAAGAGCTTATGGTCCAGTGAGGCAAATAAGTTTAGCCCAAGAATCAAGGTGAACAGTACAAGACAGGATGTAATAAAGTACAAAATTTCATGGTACAGTTTGTAAGTGTTGCAGATATTCAGAACTCAGTGAGAATCATCACAGAGGCAGAGAAACTTGAATGACGAGTTGGATTTGGAGCAGTGGCACCCATTCTTGGTGCACTCCATGGTTGGAGGTGGCATGCAACCTCAGCGGAGGCACAGCAGTAACCTTCTCTCTTCCCCTCTACTTTCCAGCGTTTCCTCTTTTGGGCCCGTTGGGCCCTCTTCACAGTACTTTATTTGGGGAGCAGAGGAGAGGAGCCCAAATGTTTGGGTCCAAACATGGTCCTAGTGGCCCTTCCACAGGCACTGTGTTTGGGAAAGAACTTAAGACAATGAGGGGCATCAGCTTGACTTAACTAGAATAAAGATTGCCTCTAAGAAATAAGGTTGGATACCCAGAGCTGGATCAGTTTACTTAAGGGCACTGATAGCCAGGCAGTGGATTTTGGACTTGATGCAGTAGGAAAGAAAGACCCACTGAAGTTTTTTGAGCCAGTGAGTGATGGAATAAAGGCTTTGTTTTCAGAATATTAGTCTGACAGTGGGGTCCCGGATGGATCGCAACAGGAGAGAGTTCTGGATCACACAATGTCTGGAACAAAGAAAGTGCTTAATAAATGTTTATTTATTGAAGCAGAGATGTGCAGGGAACATTTAACAACCAGCTCTACAAAAATGTACCCATGACATGCACTTTGAAGTTTAATCTGTATTATAAATATTTGTTCCATCATTTCCTTAAAGCTTGACAATCAGCAAAACAGTAAACTAAGCTCTAATTTGTAGCATTTGTTGATTTCTGAGATATGAATATTCTCACTGAAAATTAGCAGTCAGATAGCTGATTTTGAGTTGGCTGCGTCACATCCCTGGCCTAGTGCTAGGAGGGCTGTCTAGGAAGCAGTTAATCATTTAGGTGTGAAAGAGAAGGACCTAAGTGGAACCACAAAATTTCAGAGTTCCAAGAGAGATCTCATAGACCATCTAGCCCAAGCCAGCCCTGAACAAGTCTCCCCTCTGCAGTGTAGTTGAAAAGTGCGGATCTAGCTTTTACTTAGTCTTCCAGTGACAAAGAGCTGACTACTTTCCAAGTCAGTCCATTCAACTTTTGCACATCCCTGTTCATGCAAGTTGGGGCAGGTAGGTGGTACAATGGATAGACCACTGGGCTTGGAGTCAGGAAGACTCATCTTCCTGAGTTCAAATCTGGCCTCAGATACTCACTACCTGTGTGACCCTAGGCAAGTCACCTAATCCTGTTTGCCTCAGTTTCTTCATCTGTAAAAATGAGCTGGAGAAGAAAATGGCAAAACATTCCAATATTTTTGCCAAGAAAACCCCAAATGGGATCATGAAGAGTTGAACACAACTGAAAAACAATAAAAATTCATGCAAGTTAAGCTTGATATAAGTTTTTTCTTACATCAAGCCTAATTTTCCACACAAAGTAGAAGGATAACATTGGAAAAGGAGAGGAAGTAATTGATGTGAAACATTTAAGGAAAAATTCACAAGATTTGGTGAATGATGAGGTGAACTATGGCTACAACCTCAGTGAAGGCACATTGATAACCTTCTCAGTATATGCTTAGAAAAAAAATTTTATGTAATAGAGATCCATGATACAATCCTCTTTTTCTGTTCTTTATTTTATGTAAAAATTCATGTTTGTTAATGCTTAGTTTTGCAATCAAAAGATAAAATAAGTCAAAGACAATAATGGCACAGGGCAATGGTTCTCAAACTTATTGATCTCAGAGCCCCGTTAGACAATTGTCTTTAAAAATATTGAGGATTTCAAAGAGCTTTGTTTATATGGCCCATAAATATCAATGTTTACCATTAGTAGAAATTAAAACTGATTTAAAAATATGTGTTTTGTTAATTTAAAATAACGATAGTAAACATGATAAATAATGTTTTTAAGGATATTTTTTTTCCTAAACCAAAAAAAAAAATGAGAAGAATGGCATTGTTCTACATATTTTTGTGAATGTCTTTAATGTTTGGCTTAATAGAAAACAACTAGATTCTCTCATCTGCTTCTGTATTTGATCTGTTATGCTGTATTGTTTTGGTTGAAGCAAAATCTGGCCTCACACAGATATGTAGTTGGAAAGGGGGGTGGTTATTTTAATAGGTAAATGATATCACTGTATTATTAAGGAAGTAGTATTTACCTCAGTCACCACCAAGGACCATATGGACCACGTGGATCCATGGATCATACTTTGGAATTGTTGGCATAGTAGACAGTTTGCTGGGGTTGGAGTCAGAGGATTTAGTTTGAAATCCTGGTTCTGCCACTAATAACTTGTTTGAACTTGGGCAATTGAAACTCCCTGGCTTTCAGTTTCATCATCTATAAAAGGAGGGGAGTTGTACTAGACAACTTCTAAGGTCCGGGGCGGGGGGGGGGGGGTGTGCTGGCATGTTTAACATAACAACCGACTTCCTGGAAAAAATATATACAACACCCTTTCAAGTTTAATCTGCAATATTAATGTTTTCTTTATCATTTGCTTAAGTTAAGCCCTGATTTGGAGTCTTTGCCAATTTCCGAGGTGTGAATGCTCACATTGACAATTGAACAGTTGGGGAGAGCTGGTACAAGCTGTCTCTAGCACACTGCCTGAGGTCCCTTCCAGTCCTAGTCTTGTGATGTATGATGGTGCCATTGAAGAAAGAGTCATAATGGGAAGCCAGTGATTGGAGGGAGGGGGAGAGAATTAAGGGGGAGATGATAAATTTGATTGTAAGCATGCAAACTGTGAAATGATGGTGAGACATCCAAATGAAAATACATAGTAGGAAGTCTCTTGGGAACTAATAAAGATGGAAAACCTTCTGGCATCAGGGAACCCTGTGGTCAAGAGGGCCCCTCAGCCTCAGCAATGGAAGGAACCTCAAGAAGAAGGTGACGTGCTGAGCATTAGAGTAGTGACCTTTATTCTTCCTCTATCCCTTTCCTCTGAGGAAAGAGTGTTTTGGTTTCTTCTTCCCCCAAGTCCTTATTGCCCCTTGAATGCTGCCTATATATATAGGCCAGGTGAGTGAACCTGGGACCCCCATCGCTAAGGCAATTGTTGTCTCAATCCTCCAGGGCTTGACAGG